GGCCGCAAACAACTTCACGGCGTATACTGCCGCCCAAAATCCCCGGCCGGAAGTCCCCGGTTGTTGGGGACTGGCTTCAGTAGAAGCTCAGACTGAAGCCTTCCTAGTAAATCGCCAGAACGCCGACACCTCCTCATCTCCACCGCTCCCATGTTTTATTTTGTGTTGCCATTGGCAACACAAAATAAAACATGGGAGCGGTGGAGATGAGGAGGTGTCGGCGTTCTGGCGATTTACTAGGAAGGCTTCAGTCTGAGCTTCTACTGAAGCCNTAATCCACAATTATTTAAATGCAGTGTTAAGTGTTACTGTATGAGTTCCACTAGAAAATTACAGTTGTCAACCTCTCTTTGTGTGTTCTTTATTATGAACGTAACCGACTAGTCGACTAGTCGACTACTATTTTGAAAACTAGGTTCGACTAGTAAATATTGGAGGCGGAGAAGTGTGTGTGTGTGTGTGTGTGTGTGTGTGTGTGTGTGTGTGTGTGTGTGTGTGTGTGTGTGTGTGTGTGTGTGTGTGTGTGTGTGTGTGAGATTAAAATAGCCCAATTGCTTTTACAATAAATAAACATTGAATGTGTTTAATTGAATAGTAAAGGGGTTTAACGTTAGTGGCAGGGTGTGTGTGAGAGAGAATAAATGAGACAGCCCAATATTTAAAAAAAATTGTTATTCTTTTTCCCTGCATATTTAGCATATTTCGCAACTTTCCGCATATTTCGCAACTTCCCGCAATTTCACCGCATAAAATCACATAAAACCCTGCATGTTTGATCGCATAATCAAGGATTTTAGCCCGCATAATCAAGGAATTTAGCCCGCATAAGGATTTTTGCCCGCGTTTTTCTGGAGGGTCTAGATATATGATTGCTAATTTTACAATGTTGTGATGTGACTGACGTTAGCTAACATGCTAACACCGGTCACTCACCAAGACAGCTGCTCTGTTCTCCACTGGTTCTCCACACACCAAAGCTCCATTTCTCTCCGATGGCCGTTATTTTTTCTAATCCTTGGCTGCTCCTGGTCTCTTGGACGCCTAGCAGGCTCATAATTATAATCATATGCATTCAAATATATATTTTCAACCTCTTCTGTGTCAAAACTAGCATTGTGATCCATGTTTATTCATACGTTAGACCGGCCACTCTCCCCTTGTTTCCCCCATGTTACGTCACACGCGGGAGGTCACGTGCGGAGGCTTTTTTATGCGGAAGTGAAAATGTCTTACTAAAACGACGCCAGATGTCACTGTAGTGTATATTCCTGTATATTTTTGGGAAAATCTAGTGTATTCATCATTTTCCTACACATTTATTCACTGGTGTCTCTAACCTGCAAGTTGCTCTTTAATGCTTGAATATTTGTTTTAGTTTTGGTTCAACTTCGGCCCTTTCTTTTGGTCATATGTCTGATTGTAATAACCAACATCCCAAACTGTTTCCTGCACTGCATCTGTATTTCCTTGTCATGTTCAAAAATCTAAATTGCAGCTAATTTATTTTCTCTCTTAGGTTCGAGACCAAAGCATGTAATTGTAGGTGAAGGGTGCTAGATCCAGAAATAACCCCAAGTCTAAACATTCCCCAGCAAAAGCCAGAGACACAGAAACAGAAACGGAAACAAATCAGCTTTAATCAGGCTACATCTAAAGTTATGATATCTTTATTTTCCCTTTTTCTTACATCTTTTCTTTAAGGTCGTTTTTTGTTCCCCCATTCAACTTTTGTTGTGTCTAAATGTTTTGTAGTGGTTGGATATGTTGAACCTCAAACCTTTTCTATAATCTGCATTCAGGCTGTACTTCATGACCACGACCGAAGCGGGATCAGCTCTCTGATGAGAGACGAGTCTGACCCCAGAGCTCTGGCCTACGTCTACCAACACCAAGACACATACTGCCTCTTCTACATCAAGACGGCAAACCTGGTATTACACACACCACTCGCTACATGGGAAACATATTTAATAACATATGAATATTCATAGACATTAGCGACAGTTATTAAAAAATTACTTAACAAGATGCTATTTATCTATATTAATGACATTGATTAACAAAACCACTACACAGTGAATAATCAGGCTGCTGTATAACATTCATTATAATAATGGCAGTCTTTTGGAAATGTAACTGACTTATTCTGATAATGAAAAGAGTAGACCAAAGTAGGCCAACGTGCAAAAATGTACCTCAGTCTTGGACAATTGCTCAACTGTCGGTTCAAGTTAAAAGAACAGAGAAGTATCTGTCCTTTTTTGTATTTTCACGCTGTTTTGAACCACACTATATAGTTACATCCCTTATCCCAGGTAGTGAGAGCACAACTAAAAACAGGTTTGTTCTCTGAGGAAAATGATATGTTTGGTGCACAGTGTGATGTTTGATTTGTGTTCTCCAGGCAGACCCGGTCCTGGTTGACATTGAGAAAGTTTCTAAGATGGTGGACCAGGAGACAACTGAGGAACCAGCAGATGCACTGACACAAGTAAGGCAAACTTTTTTAAGTGTATAGTTACATCAGTGTTTTTTGACTTTGGTGTCCATGTATTCATTTTTTGCATCAAGTGTTCAATGGTGTTTGTTTTTTCCAGACTAATTCCTTACTGCTACTAAATGACAGTTCAGCCCCAGCAGCTGAGGTAAATAAAATAAAGTTGTATTCCTTAAATCTTATGGTGAGATTTATCATTGAACATCTTTTTATGTAGTTATTTTTCTTGAAATGGTGGAAGGCAAAGATTGAAATAAAACTGCACTGAATGTGCCTTTATTTTTAGGAACTAGCTTTGGAGGAAGTGCTCAGTCCACGGAAAGATTCTTCCCCTGGAAACTTAGACCAGGTACACAATATCACACATGTGAATCTGTCAATACACTGTGTCTTACCTGCCTTATTTGAACATGTTTTTATTTAATGAACCACCTCAAAACAACAAAATCATGAAACATCTTGCATTTCAGAATTTCAAAACATTGAGGTGAAATAACAAAGATATAGCATGACTGACCTTTCAAATTCAAGCCTCAGGTTGGGGTTAGTTAGTTAGCAGTTATTCTGCTTTTTAAGATCATAACATACAGTATGTGAATTTATAAGACATATGGTATTTTCGTTAATGTCTATTATTGTTGTTGCTCTCATATGGCTCGTGAGACTAACTAACCTGCAGTTCGATTAACAGTCTGCTACCTTTTATTGTTAATTAACTTAGTGTTAATACATAAGCAATTGATAAATGTTGATTTATGTTGTTTTTAGATGCAAACTTTAGAGTTTTCTGTTGCTCTGTGTACAGGCCTCTTCCAGTAACGAGCTGATGGCGGTTTTCTCGATCCAAATGGAGGAGCCGCTGATGCCCGACCAGAGCTCCTGCGCCAGTCAGCCAGGTTAGTCTCCAACTGAGACCAGGAACTGTTATGCTGAGTAAACCATGATGCATACCTTAATCCTCTATAGCCTAAAATATGTTAGAGCTGAAGTTAGTAGGGGGCAGTACACAGCCTGGAAGTGCTAATACTTTGGTCTCATTCATGGCAAAATGATCTATTTCCTTCCTGCTTGTTCTGTTTCTATAAAACGGAGCCATTCATTTAATTATTGTGGCCAAAAGCTACGTCTTTTCTGACCATTTTGGCCGCAAATTCCACTTCAATTTCACAATTTGAATCTTGTTTTGTATCACAATCCACTGTCTAAATACTGTAAAAAGAGAAGAGGGAAGTTATTTCATGTCATATTTGCATAACTACTACTTTAGTTTCATTACATTTTAGAGATTGATTGATTTTTGGAATGTTTTTTTGATAGTGATTAAAAGGAGTGGAGGGTTCACTTTGGGAACCAAACGCAGTATATGGTTATTACAAATGTTTTGCATCACATCAGAGGGTGTATTCATGCAAAGATCTAGCTCAGAGTTCATCAGTTTGGTATCCTATCATGCAAATAAATGTAATTAAAATATCAGGCTGTCATGCCTTAACACTGGCCCCTTCCCTCCTCATGCTGACTCTTTTGTCGGCTGAATCAGAGCAACTTGATACTGTGGTTGAATGGTTGAAACATGATGTTTGAAGTGCTGAGAGCCAAAAACTACATTCACACCACCATCAAACATTAATGCTCCCTACATCATACATCATGAAAGACCAGGCAGGAAATAAGGATTCATACACTGACCTTTGATCTTAGACCTGGAGGCACAAGAGAAAAATGCAAACAGTGTTCCATAACGTACACTACGTGAGTTTTCCCACGATCTCCCTGTTTAAAATGATTAATCCATAGGGAATGGCATCATTTCCATTGAATGCCTAGAAATGGCCTTATTTTCTCATACTAACGTTATCTCATTCTCCTCAAGAGGGAAACACATCAGATTCCCATGAGCTAAATTACAGAAAAGAAAACAATGAATAATGGTTTTTTTTAATTACATTGTGTATCTGCTGGATTATATGTATTTATGTTCTTATTTTGTTTATTTATACTTGCATTTAGGTTTTTTACCAGAACATGTTGACACCCTTTAATAATGATAAAAAACTTCTGATTATGGGTTAAGGATGTGTGGCCCTTTTGAGGGTTTTAATACATTCACAGTACTTATGTAGCACCTAGACCTGCTTCATAATAAACCAAATGTTGTTGATCCTGTTATAGTGTGGAAAAGGGTTGTGTTGGGGTGGTGTGATATGCACTTTCAAAACACAGGTTTTTAGGTTTAGGTACTGTCTCTCTTTATAATTACTTAACCATGGCAAGTCATTTTCATTATTGTAATTACAACAAGTTGATAATCAATTACTTTGTCATTCCAGAAATCCAGGATATTGCAACTAATACTCTCTAAAATGCTCTAAAAATGTTTGAGTAATTCCCATCACAGGGTCCCAGAAATCAAAGTGCGTCCTTTAAATGACTTCATGTCAAACAGACAGTCCAAAACCCAAGGATAATCAATTTAAAAGAGAGTGTCCACCGACAGAGAAAGGTGGACACTGATGCTTGACTTATAGTGTCTCATTTGTTTTTTAAGAAATGAAGCCAGAGTTTGATTAGCTTAGCTCAGCATAAGGAATGTAAACAGGTGTACAAAGCTAGCCTTAATTTTATTCTAAAGGTAAAATATTCTGCCTTCCAATGTCTCTAATGTCTCCCATTGATCGTTGTGATGAGATTTTTTGATACAAATGTAAAAACTAACAAGGGTTTCACTGGGAGTTGTATGCTCAAACTACGCATTGGAAGTGCCAGTAGTTTTTTTTGTTTGACTAAAAAAGTAATCAACTAATTGTTTCTGACTGGATTTGCTACACGATATTTAGTATATTTTTTGTGTTCCTCTTTTCTCTCAGAGTCTCCACATCATACTCTCTCCTCCTCTCAGATCCTCTCCATGTTCCCCACTCAGCCAGCAGGGGGCACTCCTTACTCCTCGCCCCCATACTCTCCCATCTCCATGCCCTGGGGCCAGCAGGGGCTTCTGGGTAATCAGTGGGCAGGTCCAGCTGCAGTGCCCTGGCCCACAATGCCCAGTAGTCCGTCAGCATGGCCCCCTGCAGGATACCAAGGGCCCCCAGCAGGATACCCAGGGCCCCCTGCAGGATACCAAGGGCCCCCGGCAGGATACCCAGGGCCCCCTGCAGGAGGCCAGTTTCTGTCACATGGCCCTCAGCCAGGAGCTGTGATGGGAGGAAACTCACCCGCCTCACCCACAGCTGTCAGTGGGTACCCCTCCCCTCTAAACTCCCTCTACACCCCCACTGGAGCAACAGCACCGCTGCAGTCAGTCACCCCCACCTTGTACCAAAATCTCCTCTTGTAAAGAACTGAGTTGAAAATGTGTTTTCGAGATGATGCTCATTTAGGTCCACTAAAATGTGTATTTCATTTTTCATTCTTTCTTTCATTTGCACGTAATCAAATATTTGTTTTGTTGCCTGATCAAACTGGAAGATCAAAACCATTTACTACAGTATGTTGTTACGAGTTATCATTTACTGTCTGTTTAAACTGAACAAAAGAAACACTTGTACTGCTATTGTTTAATACAATTGAATTTATAGTTCACAAATCACAAAGTATTATGATTATTAAAGATAATATAGTTTAATTACCCCTGCTGATACACTAGGTTGTGTTTTATGAGTTTTACTGACACTTGAAATTACTTTTCATTTCTTTAACAGATATAAGTTAGTTAATGTAATGTTCATCAGAATTAAATGCAGAACATAAAAGGAAGCTCAGTTAACTTTGTTTCTAATTTCCTTCAAACTAAAGCATCTCACTTTGTCTTCGGTTTTATTATATAACTATATCATTGTGTGAACGTTCTTATTGAAATAGAAAGTATATAATGTATAATAACATATTGCAGAAAATAAGCTAAATATAAAATGTTTTCTTCACATCAATTGCCCTCACAGTGCCCTAAAATATAACTGTATTATTCATACACATAATAACAAAAAAACTGACCTTTTTAAGAAGAACTGAAACGAAGTGACTGACAGCATGTTAAAGTTCCTCTACTGTTATTCCCATGTTGTGTCACTGTCTGTTCTCCTGTTGCACTCACTGAAGCGTTTCCTCATTTGAAGTATACGTTTAGTGACACAGGTCTGTACAGTAGATCAGCCTCGATATACTGAATCACGCTGGACATGGAGCACTTTATTCATCAGTGAGTCCACCACTAAAGGAAAATATGGTAAGAAATTGTTATTTGCTATGTTACTAAGTTTATTTGTTGTTAATATATTTGTGAATGGATGATTAACAACTCCTCGATGGCTCTTTTCACCCTTCTGGCCATTTCCTCCTACTCGTGTGTCTATGAATAATCTGACTTCTATAGAAAGACCATCCAATTTCATTTTTTTGAAAACCTCAGTTTCCCTCTTACATAAAACATATTATTATGGAATCACCTTTAAAACTTCCTGTACAAACCTGCAAATACAGGATCTTACCGGCTTGTTTGTGGTAATTACATCATTGTCACAGTAGAAGGGGAAGTTGGATTTTGGAAAGAAGTGCTCATGCTGCTAATGAAAGAAAGCTCTATCACAGTAGTTAATGATCAACAGTGAGCTCAGTGCAGCTTTACTTCCACTTTCCTATCTTCCTTCAAAAATACACATGTAGCAGTTCAGAAGTTCATGTATGATATCATTATTTTAAATATAAAGTAACCTGCACTGCAAGTATGTGTGCAACTTTATCAATTATTTTAATTATCCATTCATCTAAGAAATATATTTATATAAATGATTATGGGTGAATAATGGTTTGGTCTTTAATATCTCTTCGACTTTCTCAAATGTCGATGTAATGTCTGTTACATTTTTTCAGATCAAAACCAAAAGGATGAACAATTACTTTATCTATTAATCAATTATCAATAAACTTAGTGAAAAAAATGTCTGACCTTCGTCCAATCGGTTAGTCAACTAATATGTGTAGCTGTACCAATGAATAATTAAATAAATGAATTACATAAACTGCATGTTCTCTGTTTCAGAGACTGGTTGCTACCTAAATATAGTCACTCGTACTTTATCCAGCTTATTCTACATAGGTTAGTGCAAGATCATTTAAGGAGTTCTGACAAACTTATAATAATTTAAATAAACATTTTAACCAATTAGTTTTACTGTGTGTAAACTTAACGGAGAACAGAAGACTTCACTTGAAGTCAGTGATATTTACGATAACAAATGACATACCAGAAAATATTTTAAGGTACAATTTCAATGTAAATTGTGAATGTACTCAATCATATTTTATTTGTTGACAAGACTTTTTCTCACTTTTTTGTAAATAAAATATGTGTTGTTAGTGTTATCAGGTTTTTTCTCTGCAGCACACGTGCACAGCTACTGTGTGGTGACCCCGTTTTAAAAACTGCAATAAAATGTCAGACGACAGACACACGCACTTAGATGCACGCACACACTTTTGTTGAACCCCATCTGCGTGTCGTGTGTGTTTGTGGTGTAGAGAGAGGTTTTCGTCTGTTTCCTGCGAGCACAGCTTGCAGCTTATTGGTGCAGGAGGTGAGAGCAGAGAATGTTTCTATGGTAACCGGCGCAGGATGCTGGCTAAGTTACAGAGGTGTGCGGTGTTGATCACTTCCTGCTCTTCTTCACACTGTCTGTTTGACTTTGTCAAACTTGATATGTTCAGACAAAATATGGTGTAATTCCTTTGTTTTCATCAGGTTTTCAGTTTGTCAACATAACAGAGAACAAGAAAACGTAATATTTACAACAAAAGTTCCTTTAATTTTTCATAATTGTACCTCCTTGCTTTGAGACCATTGCTCTTTTAACTGCCTATTCAAGTTAAACACAACCAATGATAGTATTTGTCTGACGACGGATTTTAAGAGCTACTATAAAGATGCTCACCTGAAAGTCATGTGACTTCTTATTTTTATAAGAAACCTCTGCATACTTAGAAAAACTTTGTAGCACTGTAAAATGTTTTAAATATTATGGGGAAAATGTCATAGAATTATCCAACTGCAGTGAGTTTAATAGCTTTTGAATTGACAGCAACAACAAAAGAGAGCATAACCATTTCTTTATAAGTCTTAAAATCCCCAGATAACCTGTTTTAAAAGATTGTATTTGAAAATCCTTGCTATAACTAACAATTGAACCACTTTGTGTAACATAAATAATGTTTTAATGTAGTGATTGATTTCATTCCATGATTACTCATTGCAGCAACCTCAGTAAATGTCTGTTCCTCACTTATATCATAATCATTTTGTTGAGGAGACTGCTCAGCTCTGAGTAGATCAAAAGAACCAGGAAACTGCAATGTTGCACGGTGCATTCTCACCTTGTAAAGCGAGCGTGGGGGGTATGCCTTGCTGTCTGCTGCGCTGCTGACTTCCTGCTTCAAACACATATCAGCTGCAGTTGAGTTTGTGCCTGTGTATTTTTTTCAGGAGGACAGCGTGGATGTGAAGGCTCTGAGGGCCAGGTTCAACACCAAGCCCATCACCTCACCAGACACCAGCAGCAGAGACAGCGGCTCCCCAAAATCTCCTCAACCCGGCTTTGGTAGACTTCCACTGACAGAGAGCAACCTGGCGCACCACAGACTGTCTCCCACGGTTCCTCCTCCTCCACTGGCTAGCTCAGGCCAGGTGAGGTTCCCGAGGCCGGCAGAATCCATGGCGGCATCCAGACCTCCCCTCCCTCGACCGTCTCCCAGTCCTGGAGTCAGAGCCCCCCTCCAGCCGGCAGACCACAGCAGGGTCAAGCTGAAGGGGGAGATGCTGCAGAACATGATGCTGAGGCACCAGAGGCCTCCAATCCCCAAACAAGCCCCAGCTCACACCACCCCTCCACCTCTCCGACAGCAGCCCCGAAAGAGGAGCGCAGGTGAGGTGACCCCGCTCAGGAGGCCCCTGCCCCCTGAAGGACCCCTGCCCCTGAAACCCAAACGGCCTCCCAATGTCAACCTGGAGCCATTTCTGAGGCTCAACCGAGGACCCGCCCTTCCTGGTCCCAAAAAGAGTGACGGTAAGTCTCGGGCTTATTTCTCATAGTTTTTAAATCATGCACGACTCAATTGATAAATGAAATTACGAAAATACATTGCTGAATGTGTGTAAATAAGTGTGCTGTGATTTCCGCAGCAGGTTCCCCAGGATCAGGGGGAAGAAAGATGTCTTTACCCGCCATCCTCAGTCCTCCGAAACCGCCACAACGAATCAACAAACCCAGGCTGCCGCACCAAATGGCCTCCATGTGAGTCTTTAGATCACGTAATGCTGGTGTTATACCAACACATGCAGGAATCTACATACAATTAATTATTCCACATCTTCAGATAGACAATAAGTCATACATAAATCACTGAGAATGCCACAGTAAAATCAAATTCTCATCTTCATCACAGTTGACAGGATGTTAAGATTGCAGGGAGGAAAACGTGGGAGAATCTACAACTATCTTTAACATTTGCAGCATCCAGATGTCAGGTGGTACACCAACCAATTGCTGAATAACAAGCAAGAAAAATGTGTTGCTTATTGATTGCAGGGACATTGAAGATAACCAGGACTACTATGATGACATTGGAAGCTTTGAGAAGAACGGTAACAATGGCATCTTGTTTGTTTCTGCATCACGGCAAATATTTCTGTTTTTACGCCTTTGTTCCTCTAACACATTTTAAGTTATTCAGAAAAGTGCAACAACTTATATTTTCCTCGTGATGTTTCTTCACAGAGTCCTGGAGCGACAACAGTTCACAGTGTGTGGACGAGGTAAGGCCATTTTAACTTACCGTGAAGTGAATACGCCTCCCATTTTTAAGAATTTAAAAACGCTCTTTCCTCAAACCAGATCATAAAGTTAGAATAACGTTTTATAAATGTTAGTTTAATGATTGACAGGCTGAAATATTCCTTTATATTAATATTGTAAATGACAATTAAGCTGTCATGGATGGCATTCCCTTTTAATCTAATAAACCTGATATATTTTGTTGTTCTGTTAACGTGCACATTTTTGCACGTTTAAAACAAGGAGGTTTTTTTTCTTTCTTTTCTTTTACAGGAAAATGATGACGTGTATGAATTCATAGATGAGTAAGTATACACGTTCTTTCTTTATCATACAGTGTCTGTAGTTGTTAAGAGCTCTGCTGGTTAAAGTAGAAAGTGGCCGCAGTGAACACGAAGCACGACAGAAAACAGAAAGTGCTTCTATTAGTTCTCTTACTCCTATTGTTATTTTTGCACCTACTGAAGCAGCAACAACCACTCTTTCAACTATAACCTAAAAGGCTTTGCAATTTGAGTTTTTTCATTTTACACAACGTCTCTTTAGGAAACGGTACTCTAATGTGTAATACCTGTTTGGTTTAACAGGATGTCTTTGGCAAGCAACCTTAAATGTGCAACAGATTGTTGAAAGGGTTTCTGTAATTCAACATATTACCTGTTAGGTATTGTTGTCACCTATGTAATGTGTAACACTGTTGTTAAGACATTTGATTTTCCATTTTAACAACAATTATACAACTGTTTCCAAGGTGTAAAAAATCAAACATCAACATCATGTCTAACATTAGCATATAGCAAGCACAGATTCAAAGAGCAACTGTCATGGCCATAGATTCTTGTAGTTGCTTAATTTATGTAGTAAAATGTGTAATGAAGTAATGAACTGCTTTGAAAATGATTGAATTGTTCCTTTAAAGGGATCAGGTGGAGAAAAACCGGTTAAATAGTGAGAAGCAAAACAAAATAGATGAAAAGAAGCAACAAGCACAGGAGAAGAGAGATCAGATGGAGCGTCA